AACTTTAAGATCTTATTTAAAAAATTTTAATTCTTTCAATTTGATAATTCTTAATTATTATTAATGAATGAAAAGCTGTGTTGGGAGAGGACAGAAGGGTGCATCAAAGACAATAAAGGAGAAGGGGAAGAGCATGTGGCCAGGGCAGAAACACAGAGAGTGAACAGTATCATCTTCACCTCCTCAGAGTGCAGTTTGCTGACAGCTCCTCCCAACTTTTCTATAAAAGAAGGAAATGTGCTTTCAATTGCAAACAAACAAATTAGACCTCCCCCTACCCAATAGACTCTTGCTTGTTCTGTCATACCAGCCTTTGTCAAAATTATTAAAATGCCATTTCCCTTTGCAATAGAATCTACTTAACTTTACAGGAATTTTAAAAAGATTTTTTTATGATAATTAATTTAGGCTTATAATTTTTTTAAAAAAAATTAACAGTAATGATTCAATAATCAATAATAACTAAAAACTAACTTCTTCATTAATTAGTAAAAAAATATTAAACAATAGACAAAGAAGATCACCCCGAATCTTTTACACACTCAGAAGAAAATGTACCTGCAAAAGCGAAGACGAAAAGCAAAAGGCTGGGTCCGTACTAACAAGCGAGTATCATATGGCATTTGACCCTCCTAATATCTGATTATTTTTTACCAAAAAAAAAAAAAATCTGTTTATCTGTCTGGCGCGGTGTCAGAGGTGACACAAGCAAACATTTACTACTCTCTACTCGTGAGTACTCGGGTGAGTAATCGAATGATTATTCAGCAATCGAATTGAAAAATTAAATTTAGTTTGATTTTAATAATTTTTGAGTTTTATTGTTTTAATTTTGATATTAATTAAATAAATTTTGATTTAATTTTAATTAATTTTTTTACAAATCAAAAATAAAAAATAAATCTCTTAAAAATTAAATTTTAAATAAATGTAATAAAATATAAAATAAAATATAATTTATCATTAAAAAAAGTTATTAATATTTATTTAATAAAAATAAAAACCAAACCAATTTTATTAGTAACAGATCCGATTAATTTATGAAAACTTCGATTCAATTTTAGTTATCAAAATTTAAGAAAAAAAAAATTTCGATTATTTCCCACCCCTCTCTAGCTTTATGATTCACCACCTTTACTATTCTATCATGTAGGGTATATCCACTAAAATATCTTGAAGCTTTCACATATAATGATATGGCACTCAGTTTTAGGGTCATGATGTGGAGACAGCAGAAACAAAGGTTCACAGATAGTATATAAAAGCGTAGAGGGAAGAATAACATATATCAAAACGCCATGTACTGTTAAAACCATTTAAATAATTTCTTCTTTCTTTATGCATTTTGTTTTGTGGATTTCTGTAAAGATGTCAGAGACAAAAGCAGCGACAAAGTAAGGCAGAAGCGGCAGCAGATCATAATAAGAAGAAAAAGGCAACAAAGTTGAAGTGATAATAAGAGCAGAGCAGACTCACCGAGTAGGAGAAGAGAGAAAGGAGGTAGCGGCAGTTTCATCAGAAGTAGAACACCCTTCAAAACTTTCGGCTGAAACAGCACTATACCCTTGATTCTTTTCAAGTTCATTCGAGGAAGATGATGAGTACAAGAAACAGGTCACCTTTTACACCAGCTCAGTGGCAAGAGCTTCAACACCAAGCTCTGGTGTACAAGTTCATCGTCTGTGGAGTTCCTATCCCTCCTGAACTCATCTATTCTGTCAAAAGAAGTTTGGACTCTTCTCTGGTTTCAAGGGTTTTCCCTAACCAACATAGTAAGTATGCCAACCATTACTCTGAGGTTTTTATTTAAACACCATCTAGGGGCTTCGTAGTTTATCAGATTTCCCTTATTTTTGGTAGGTATGTTTACCATTTAAAAAAAAAAAAAATCATTTGTTTTGGGCCACTTGGGTTGCACCATTGCAGTTGGGTGGGGCTGTTTTCAGGTTGGTTTTGACAGAAAGGTTGACCCAGAGCCAGGGAGGTGCAGAAGAACAGACGGAAAGAAATGGCGGTGTTCAAAAGAAGCATATCCAGACTCCAAGTACTGCGAGAGGCACATGCACAGAGGCAGAAATCGTTCAAGAAAGCCAGTGGAAATTACCTCATCAACAATTTCAAGTACAAAAACAACACCAACTCAACCCATCCTTTCACCATCTATCTCATCAATCAATAGAAACCCCTCCATTTCCACTAATAGCACCATACCCTCCATTTCTCCTTTCACTCTTTCTCCACTTCCTTCCTCATCTCTAGTTTCTGAAATTTACAACCCTCACAATGCTATCCAAGAAACCCATTTTAACTCCTCCTTTCAAAATTCCCATTCTCCCTCTTCTTCTAGACCCCCTGGTTCTGGTTTAACATTTCAAAATCAATCTTCACTCCATTTCTTGGACTCTGGAACTGGGATATCTTACCCTCAGGCTGATATGGATTACAGGTACGCTTAACAACTCAGAACTTTTTTCAACTTTCTTCGCTTTGAAATTGATTTTTTTTTTTTTTTTTTATACTTGTCACAAATTAATAGGTGTTTTCCTGGGACAAGGGAGGGTGTCGATGAGAGAGTTTTCTTCCCTGAAGCTTCTGAGAGTTCTTGCAGAAGCTTCTCTCAATCACACTATCAAAGCTCTATAGACAGCTCAAAGCAACAGCAGCATTGCTTCGTCCTGGGCACAGACATCAGGTCAACAGCAACAATCAAACTAGAGAAGGAAGATGAAAATCAAAAGCCAGTGCACCAATTCTTCGGAGACTGGCCACCCAACAACGCTGACCCCTGGCTTGATCTTGCATCCAATTCTCGGGTCCATACAGGTGAGTAATCTGATCATTATCATAGGAAACTATTAATTTTGGTAAGTTACTAAAATTGTCAAATTTTTATTTTAATTTAATTGTCAAAAATAGTTTATAATTAACAAAATAATTAATATTTATTATTTAATAAATTAAAATAAATATATAAATAAATATTTTTAAATATTATAAATTAATACAATTACAATTAAAATAATAATTTAAACAAAACTAACGTAGACAATAACCTCACCCTTCCATATAGACTCTATCAATTTCCTGTAGAGCACTGGCCCTCGAGGCCCAGTAGCATAACCACGGTGCATTCTCTCTCCCCGGCAGGGTTCAAAACCTGCCCTTGCAAAATACGTTAAAAAAAAAAAAATCAATTTCCTGTAGAAGTATTGTCGTCTTCTCCGACTTTTGAGATATTTAAATTTTCTAATTTTGCAGACAGCTGAAGTGAAAGATGAGAACTTTATAAAATTTGGCCAAAAGAGTACTTCGTGTGGGTCAATAACTCAATATGCCTTTGCTCTGAAGTCTACAAGTTGTGGCTGGAAGTATCTACTCCTTGCTTTCCTGGTGCCTTTTCTTCCCCTGCAGGAAACGTGTGTGGTTCTTGATGGGCTTTAAAGTCTCCATTTTGTAGAAATTCAAGACAGAGGAGGCTAAAGACATAATTTGCCATTTAGTTCTTTGTTTCCTTAGTGCCTTTGCATGATTATGTTATGATTATAATGGACAAAACAGTTATTTAGAGTGACTTTTGATGCTATGTTTAGCTGACTTCAACAAGTTCCCAAGTACCCAATAATAAATACCAAGAAGGTACCTTCTTGTTAGTATATCTCTGAGATACAAAATTGTCTGGGTTTTCTTTACATGGGTTATGACACATGAATGATCCCAATATCTATGAAGCTGGACTCCCTTTGGGTGTTAACTCGGTTCCTGAAAATACAAGCTTAATCCACCTTCCCAAAATTTCAGGGTATTGACGTCTGCATAATACACACACACACACACACTGATTTCCCTGACCAACTCCCCTTTCAGCAAGGAACTAACTCATCTTATAGCAAATATCAAAAAACCCATCTTGGAGATTACCAAAGTAGACAAATAATGCTAAAGTATTGTTAAGGATATCCTCACTTTGAATCCTTTTGGAACACAATCCACACAACAGAACAAACTATGATTGCTGCTCAAGGGCAGTTTTCACCATTCACAAATAGCACATAATGAACATATCATGATAGCTGTATCATTCTCCGTACAAACTACTTTCCAACTTCACTCCAACTCCCTAGATATCTAGAAATTCAATTACATCTACACTATTTTCATTTATGAATTATCATCCATTTCATCAGTTATGAAATAATTAAGGGTTTGAAACAAGAATTAAGAGAGAGAATTTCATTCTTTTTGGATTAAAACTAAAAAGCTCTGAGTTGATATTCGATAACCAATATGTATTAGTTTAGAGTCTAGACATGCAGAACAAAACAAATTAACCAAAAATAACTGATTCTGATCCCTTATTTGACAAACTGGCACTTATTAGAAAGCACCCTAGCAACTACGTCAAATATACAGCAGGCTAACCAAATTGTTAGCTAAAACGAGCAATTGATGGAAATTGGTAAAACAGTTGTCTTATAGCTATCTCCAACAATTTTCCTTTTCTAGCAAGATTTCCCAATTTTCTGAAATATATAACAGTTGTTCTATGTTTACATCTTACAAAAACAAAACCCAAAGTAGCTTTTAAGAATATCCAACAATAATTAGCATCATGGTAACAATAAAAACCCACACTTACTTACCCAAAAAAATAAAAAATAAAAATAAAAACCCACACAAAATAGCTAATACCAGGAATGACATCTTTTAGCTAATCACTCTTGACTCCAAAATCATTCCATCTAGCAGCATCCAGTATTAAATGTAAATGGTACATATTGCCTCTTCATCCCTAACTTCATGTTTGATAAGATGGGTATGAAGTTGCTCAATCTAATGTGGCGGCGTTAGACAAAGACATTGGTAGAAAATACAACATAGAGCTTACTAATAATACATGGAATGACAATTAAGAAGAAATTAATAATCTTAAAAGTTAGTTTTTGCACATTCAAGACAACTGCCCAGACAAATGATGATCAATGAGTTGCAGCAGTTTATATCGACAAGGTAAAACTAAATGGAAAGGGCTAATTTGCAGCATGGCGAAATGTTGAGTCAACTGCCTAAAGCATACTATTGGATGAATTAAATAAAGTTCAGAGGAATTTGTTTTAACACACTGCTTTAAAGGAATTTAGGAGAATGTAACTTTTTAACAAACAGCCCACCATAAGTTTTGCTCCATAACCAATTGTTGATCAGCAAAATAACTCAGTAACATCCAAGTTGAGAACTCCGACAGCTTACAAGATGCTATAACCAATCACCTAAGAACATTAGAACTCTTCTGCTTCAGATTTTGTTTCTACAATTGCTCTAATTTTATTATGTACCATCTAGACAATGCATAAAAGAATTACATATTGCAGCAAATGCAACTGACAGGTAAATTTTGCATCATAGAACAAGTAAACTATGAGCAAAAAATTTGTTGCTTGACAAACAAAAGAATTTATTTCTGAATTACACAAAACTTAAAATCGAAAGAGTATCAAGTGAAGAGAAATTCCTTTACTAAATTTCAACACATACAAAAGCTACCTTTCATCAATTTTAATACTTCCATGGTTCCTAAGATTGGTACAATGTCACACGTTCGTAAAAGCAGATAATCGAACAAATACAAAGGCAACCACCTTTCTTCTTTTTCAATAACAAGCCGTGTAACCAAACTAAAACACCCCAAAAAAATTTTTAAAAAATAATAATAATAAATCAAAGAAAACTATAACAAGAAGATGGAAAAAATGACAATCAACATTTACCCATTTACAAAGGACTTCCAAGGACCAAAAGGTAGATATATATTGTCCAATCAACTCACGAATCCAATCCTCATGCCGCACATCAAAGAATCTCAATTTGATAGAACTCCAAGATTATAATGCTCAGCAAAGAATTTCATAATCCAATCAATTTGCTAGCATTGTAATCCACTTCACTGAAGCAATAGTATAAATGCAAGACAGTGAAACTGAAGAATTCAAAAGGAAGATCAGTATCGAATCTGTCTTTACTTTAACAGCTGCCGTCTCTTATAAACCAAGAAGCCCACTACACCAATCTGCAAGATTGCTATGATGCCAGCAAACAACAACCCGATCTTCTTCCCTGTATTCAGCTTGTGATTACTTGGTGGTGTAGGTGGTGGTGGTGGCGGTGGAGGTGGAGGTGGAGGTGGAGGTGGAGGTGGAGGCGGCCGTGGCCGTATCCCATGATGGGGTCCGCTGTTGTGAGTCCGTGGTGGTGATCGAAGACGGTGAGGGAGTGGAGGAGGAGGATAAAACTGTGGAGGTGGCCTTCGTGGTGCAGATGGGGAAGGAGGAAGAGGTGGTGGTGGTACTGGTGTTGGCGGTGGTGGTGATTGTGGTAGTGCAATGGAAGATAGGAATAGAAGGCCCCCTTCATTTTGTGATTGTGACTGAACAGCAACAGAATGGACGACAAACACCAAAAACACCCATCTCGGCAATGGTGGTTCCATGAAACAGCGACAAGTTAATCCCAAAACTTATCTAGAGAAATCAGGGTACGGTCAAGGGATTTCAATGCAGTCCCGCATCTGAATATGAATCAATTAATAACCAGAAAACTAGGGTTTCCCGTACTTTCGAGGAATCAGGAAAATGGGTAAATAACATTGTCCCAAATTCTTGATCTTTCTCCTGCTCCCGGATCAAAATATGACCTTCTTCAAAGCTACAGCAGCATCCTCCCCCAAAACAATCCAGAATCGACCCTAGATAGCTGTTTTCAAATCTGGGCCTTTGTGCTTCTCCTTTCTTCTTGATCATCAAACGAATAAATCACCTGGGTTTGGCACCTAATACTCTCGATATCTAAATCTCGAAGAGAATCAAAACAAAAGGGGCATCTTTAGGGTTTCTGAAAATCAAAATGATCATGGGTTTTAAGAATTTCTTCTTGATTTCTCTCCTAAAAGTGAGAAGATTCAACGGAATTGGATCAAATAAGTAGGTGAGAAAACGCAATGAAAACGGATTAGGAGAAGGTGGGATTGTGGATTAAGGGATTTACCGTCAAGTTGTTGTTGAGCTTTTTTCTTCTTTTTTTCTTTTTTCTTTTTTTTCCCAATTTTGTTGCGCTAGTTGAGAGAGACGAAAAGGGGGGAGTGTAGGCGGGTATCAACGGTTGGAACTAATTTTGGGTAAACGTTTGCATAGGAGGAATCTAAAGACCTGTCTCCACACCACACCAGATGATGAAAACCGAGTGAAGCACAGGAATAAGACTTGTTGTCAACGGCTTCATGAATTAAATTT